AATTATTTACTGCTTGCAAACCAATGATGGTAAGATGATGTCATGGGGTAGGACTGGATAAGTCTGACTTCTTCCTACTCCATTCAAACATGTACTAGGTATAAGTAAATTGATATTGGATTAGCATTTGTTGGATATGTGTATAATTATGTATGTTGATATATCAACTGTCTTTACATGCTTGAAAGAATAAATCAAATCAAAAAAACATTACAAGAATACAAAGTTATTATTTGTTCAGCTCCCCTTTTTAACTAACTGTAAATGGATGTGGCTACATGGCTGCTACTTGTTGAGCATGTGGTAACACAAAACACAACCTTAATAGTCATTCTCATTTGGTAAAATAAATGTTGTGAGCGTGTCATTATTTACTATGTAATGCCAGTATCAAACAGACTGGGTTTAAAGGTGACTTCCCCAACAGTGTTTTGGTTGTTTGACACAGACATAATTAAGCCCTAACTTTTTCCCATTTTTCTTTGGCTATTTGTTTCTATCTGATCTTTTTGGTCTTTGTGTCTGTTTTTGATTTTTTTGTAGCTGATTCTGTCTAAAATACAAAGAAATGCACCGGCTGTACAAGATGAATTACAACTGGTTGGGAGAAGGATTTCACTGTGGGGGAGGCTAAATAGGAAAAAGGAAGGGAGCAGGTGTATGTAGCAACGGTGGTGTGTGGGGGTGTGTGTGTCTAAAAGGGGGTTCAGAACAGAACGAGGTACAAAGAGGGACAGAAATATGAAAACGAGAGCACAGAGCGAGAGAAGGGGGAGGGGAGTGTGAGGTAATTTATGAGCCATTTTAATACAGTGAGGTTTAATCTCTTCTCTCTCTCACTCACACACACACACACACACACACACACACCTCCTAACCCAGTTCCACGGCGTCTGCACATAATTATTTTTAGTGAACCCCGCAGAAGATCTTGTGATCAAACAGGGAAATGAGACTCTGGATTCTATGTTTGGACCCCAGTTGTTTAGATACTATTTGAGTAGAGTAATGATTATTCCCACCATCAGTTCATCTACCGATTATGTTCCCCATTAATTAATTGGTTTATAAAATATCAGCGAATTGTGGAAAACACCTATTACAATTTCCCAGAGCATGAGTTGACTTCAAATGTCTTATTTTGTACAATCAGAAATCTGAAACCCAAAAACCTTCAGTTCACTATTAAAGACAAACCAAAAACCTTTCTCATTTGAGAAGCTGAAACCAGCAGTATTTTGCCATTTTTGCTTTAAAACCTTGTTGCCTAATTACTCTTGTGAGTTACTTGTCTAAATCATTGCAGCTCTACATTTCAGGTTAACGGACTGATTGTAAAACGACCTTGTTGGTAATGACTTTCAGTTAATTTGTGAACATACCAAATGTTACAACAGTGTGGTGGTTGTAATTATTTTAACTCTGTCTTCCACCAGTCCATGTACTGATGTTTATTTGATATAGGTTCTTTTGTGTTTTGATTGTATAGTCAGCATGTCTTAAAGCATTTCTGCCTATTGGAATAAATACAGTTTGATTCTTTTGGCCCATGAGAATTGTTTGGCATTCATTTGCATATTGACAATGAAAAGTGATATATGCACAGAATTTTATGTTCATGCTTTCCATGCTTGACCAGTTATTACCTGGATGGGATGAATTTATTATTCCCTTATTAGAAAAAAAGGAAAAGTCTTACCCGTGTCCCCTGCTACTCCCGTCCATCCAGGAGGGCCAGCAGCTGATCCAGGAGAAGCCCGAGCTAAGCCCGGTGGTCCGGAAAAAGCTGGAGGAGATCAAGGAGTGCTGGCAGGATCTGGAGAGCACCACGCAGGCCAAGGCCCGGCAGCTCTTCGAGGCCAACAAGGCCGACCTGCTGGTGCAGAGCTACGAAAGCCTGGATCAGAGACTGGGCCAGTTGGAAGGTCAACTGGCCTACGTGGATCAGGGAGAGGACCTCACCACTGTCAACAAGCAGCTCAAAAAACTACATGTAAGTAGGATTTTAAAAATTCAAGGAAACCCCTCAGGTTAGAATTCTGTGTTTTAACCTCTGTTTTTTTTTTCTTTGTTTGATTAATTCTCAGGATCCGTCGAAGCTTAAACCTAGCAGGTGTTTCACAATAACACAAGACGACAGTAGAGATAAATTCAGATTCTCCCATTAGTAAATCAGCTGCTGGTTACCACAGTCTTTTTTTTACATTGTAAAGACATTTTCTTCAACATAGAAGTTTATATTTAAATATAAATGTACAGGAAAGAAGTGGCAGTTATTTCCTCTCCCATTTACTGAAGCACTGTTTGGCAAATTTATTGTCTGTGTGTGTGTGTGTGTGTGTGTGTGTGTCTGTGCTTTTGTTTTGTTTTGTCAGCCAAAGTGAAAAAACTCACATGGTCTAACAATCACATTTCTGAGCAACTTGTTGCTGCATATTAGTTTGATATTGTACAAAAACACAATGTATATTTTAACCTAATTCCATGTGACTCTGTGTTTACAGTATCTTAGTATCGTTGCATGTTCGTCTTATTATTATTTGAACAAAACATCATGTTTGAAAATGACTAGGGGCAACGCTTCTCGCCGAGTGCCTGCGATGCTTTCTGTTGAGCTTTTCATCTCATTTCAGCAAAGTCAGACTCTTTTATTTTCACCCCAACATTAATATTTAATTTGTGTTGATGGTTTCTGGAAACTCAAACAGCAGTTATACCAGCCCGGTGAGCTGTCATGAGAGTTTCAGCCCAAGATCATTTTACAGAAACTGGCTAATGGATGTCATTGATTAGTGCCTTTTTAAATACAGCTGTAAGCATCTTGTAGAATTTTGTTATTGTTTACCAACTGAATCAGCAGATGTTGATGCCCTTTGTTAGTTAAGTGTTTTATGGCCGATTTGATCTCTGTTTGCTAATTGAATAGTAGTTTAGATTATGTAACACTGAATCATGTGTTATTCTGTTCCAACTGAATGTGTGCAGAGACAGATTACAGTCCTTTTACCATTAACCAAAACAATTAAGAATTGTTTTGACCTCAAACACTGCAGTATTACTGCAGTTGTATTCTCCAAGCATTTATCTTTTCTTACAGTTTTGTTTAGATTCTATCTCCCTGTTTATACATATAGTAGGGGAGGTGTGTGTAAGGTGTAGGCAGCAGTACATGCCTTGTTTGGCTGCAGATGTTTAAGCTAATCTCTCTTCTGTTCTGTAAATTAAAGCCTCTTCAGTAGAGCAGCAGAGCAGGTGTGGTTTTGTCAGATGGCTCCAGGAGTGAAAATCCTGCTCTTTTCTTTATTATAATGGCCATGTGCACAGTTCCAATGCAAGAAACTCTCCCGATCATCAGAGCAAATAATGAGCAACTGCATTAAAAAGTGATAATTGAACCAGCTTAAAAGTTAAAGATTCTGCGGTCTGTAATGCTGTTAGGCTAGGTTTGATATCCTGGTAGCTTATAAGGCTTTTTTCTGAACATGTGATGTTGGGATGAAACTCTTTGTTTGTCATCCAAAAGCGATGGATTGGAGGAGTCAGAGTCTTTACACAGCGAACAGCAGGCAGATTCAGATTCATCCTTTCATCACGTCGTCATTTCACCAGACGCTTCGCTCTCCTCTCCCACAGCATGCTGCTTACAGCTTCATTTAACAGGCTGCCATTAGCATTGCTTTCCCACATCATCCTAACTCCAAACCAAACTCCACTACCCAGCATCCATCCTGGCAAGGGGTACAGTAACCTTGGCTACACTTCATGTCTGTTTTGTGTCAAATAATGGGTTGTTTCTAGTCTCATCTTTGTCTTAATGCCAGTCTTTTATTAAATGAGGACATTTCACTGAGATTATATTTCACTCTATATTAGAATATACCACAAATTTGATCAGTTGCCGTTATTATTTCAGTTTTTACTTTAGCGCTTCAGTATCACACAAGCAACCAGTTATGAATGAAGTATTACTGTGATTGTTTCCCATGTTTTTTGGATTGGCCATTGTCACTTTTGGTCTGTTTTTCTTACAATTATGTATATTCAGTGTAAAATAAAAAAACTTTCTTTACCTAACCTGAAGAGAACAGTATTCTTATGGTAAGGTTAAAATCAGAAAAGCTGCTGTAAGCAGTGGTTTCTAGCTTTAAACCAAAATGTCCCTCAAGTCTAAGTCTGAAATAAGGAATTAAAAAACAGCCTGACGTGAATTCACTGTCACCTGTGAATCAAAACTGTGACAAAGTGCTCATTTGCATTTCTGTCTTATTCCTCACATCCCACCCATCCCCTCTTTGTCTTCTCTCCCATGACTGTGCATTTATCATTCACATCTCTTCCTCTCACCTATCTCCATTCCTCTCTCCTAATCAACAAATCTTCTTTTTCTCCTCCACCATCCTCCTCCTCCCCCTCAGACCCTGGAGACCCAGATGGAGGAGTGGTATAAGGAGGTGGGGCAGCTCCAGGTGCAAGCGGCCTCCATCCCACAGCAGACGCAGATCAAGGAGACGGTCGCAGGGCGACAGGCTGTTGTAGAGGCCAGGATGGTGCGTCTGATCGAGCCACTGAAGGAGAGACGACGCATCCTGCTGGCATCTAAGGAAGTCCATCAAGTTGGACGAGACCTGGAGGACGAGATCGTGAGTCAGATGGCCGTCAGCCGAACCATTCACACTGAATATAACAGAAATGGAACACTTTAGAAAACTCTTTATTTCTGTAGCTTAATTAGATTCCCCTTGTATGATCAGCACAGACAATTTAATAACTGTAATTAGTGAAATTCACAAGGATATTTTTGTATTTTATTACTGTGTTCAGTTGTTATAAGTATCCGTTTGTAGTGTATGCGGGGCATATTAAACATGTTTAATGTAAGACACACATAGTTGTACATAATGCCACATAAACATTACATGCTCTCATGATAGATGACAAATAGTTGGTGCTGTGTGTTGTGTTGTTGTAGTTATGGGTCCAGGAGCGACTCCCGCTGGCCATGTCCCAGGAGCATGGCGCCACTTTGCAGGCCGTCCAGCAGCTCATGAAGAAGAATCAGGTAAGAAAATCAGAACAGCAGAGAGCCCAACCACAGACGTTAACTAATAATTAATTAATAATAATTAGTGTAGCTCTCCCCGTTGCTACATCGTCACCTCACCGTGGTCAAGTCACAAAAAGATGAACAGATGATGCCTGATAGATAAAAATAATGTTCTATTAACACCTTTGCACTTACCTTATGGTATAATACAACTTCTTATCATTGATCTGTTTTATTAAACCACATAAAACAGGTTTAAACAGTCACCTCTTCTTTCCTGTTACTGCCCTCCTCTCCTCCAGACACTTCAAAGGGAGCTACAGGGCCACAGGAGCAGGATTGAGGATGTCCTGGAGAGGGCGGCAATCATCGCCTCCATACGCAGCCCTGAGGCAGACTATGTCAGGGCCGGCCATGACCAGCTGGCCCAGCTGTGTGCTCTGCTCTGGGCTGAGACCGAGAAGAGGCAGCTGGTCCTGGATGCCATGTACCAGGCCCAGCAGTACTACTTTGACACGGCCGAGGTGGAGGCCTGGCTCAGTGAGCAGGAGCTGCATATGATGAACGAGGAGAAGGGGAAGGTGGGTGTGCATTGTTCTGAAATGTAAATGGGCATTTCAGCAAAAGATGTCTGTTTCAAGAATCACTCCATGTAGTCTGTTATCATCACAGAACCATCCATCCATTATCTATACCGCTTATTCCTAAATAGGGTCGCAGGGGGCTGGAACCAATCCCAGCTGACACTGGGTGAGAGGCGGGGTCCACCCTGGACAGGTCACCAGTCTATCACAGGGCTGACATGTAGACAAACAAACACACTCACTCCTACAGGCAATTTAAAGTCCCCAGTCAACCTAAGCTGCATGTGTTTGGACTGTGGGAGGAAGCTGGAGTACCCAGAGAGAACCCACGCAGGCACAGGGAGAACATGCAGACTCCACAGAGAAAGGCCCCGGGTCAGTCAGGCCTCAAACCCGGAACCTTCGTGCTGTGAGGCGACAGTGCTAACCACCGTGCTGCCGTTCCACCCGCATTAAATCAGGGGCACTGGAAGAACTACCCTGAATGGAGTCTCTGTTAGAGACACTAATTGAAGCACCTCTCTTCACACTAAGACCTGTACACTGAGGCAGGATTAAGCGTTTATACTGTGCACGTGTACTATTTTTAAAGTGAAACTCTTCCTTGTGGGTCATTTCCTCTTCCCACCAGGATGAGCCGAGCACACTACAGCTGCTGAAGAAACACTTGGTCCTGGAACAGACCATTGAGGACTACGCTGAGACCATCGGCCTGCTGTCACAGCAGTGCCGCCAGCTGCTGGAGATGGGGCACCCAGACTGGTGAGCATGTAAACACACACACTCAATCTAACACAAACTTCTCTCATCATAAAATAAATTTTACGAATGCTCATAATCTTTTATATTATAACCACAGAAGAAGTCAAGTGCCAAGGTTCACCGCAAAAAAAGATATTTTTGTCAAATTTAAAGTATAACACAAAAAATATCTTATCGTTGGCATTTTTTCAGATTGTTGGTTAACAGACGCAAGAGTCCAGGCAATTTCTGTTACTAATGCAATACACAACAATCTGAAAAAACTTAGAAAAAATCAACTGGACTAGATTTCTAGGTCGAAGACGTTTCACCTCTTGTTGTCTTCGACCTAGAAATCTAGTCCAGTTGATTTTTTCAGTTTACTATGACCTGGATAACTGAGAATCTGCACAGACAATACACAACAATGAAAGTTGAGCTATAAGAACGCTAGCTATTGCAACACGGAGCCTAAAATTTGTCATTCGCACTGATGCAATTCTGAATGTAGCAACAGTCGGAGGTTGTTTGGCGTCCTGTTAACCCTGAATATAAATATTGCTGACACTATATTCTTGTCTTGTTCTTGTAGTTTTCCTCTGGGTATATTTCTGCACATTTTAACTTTGGAAAATAATGGTATGGTGAGAAATAGTACTGCTACCAGAAACATTTGTAGTGTAGCCACAGAAAGCTTCATGTAGATTATTGTCTATGGCACCAGCATCCACATCTTTTGTGCTTCTGACACCTGTGTACCTGCCTGTTTTTTTTTTTTTTTATACTTGACCTGACATATTTTCTCCTCTCTTTTTGACAGCGAGCGCATCAGCAAGCGTCAGTCGCAGATCGACCGTCTATACGTGTCTCTGAAGGACCTGGTGGAAGAGAGGAAGAGCTGTCTGGAGCAGCAGTACTGGCTCTACCAGCTCAACAGGGAGGTGGACGAGCTGGAGCAGTGGATCGCTCAGAGGGAGGTGGTCGCCAGCTCGCCAGAACTGGGTCAAGACTTTGAACATGTGACAGTAAGTGTGTCGACAGATGGTGTCTCTGGATGAATAATAGATTCAAGAAACATCTTTATAAGTCATGTATTGAAATAAAAAAGCAACACTGATTTCACTTGTTGTTTACACTGTAAGTTACAACTGCTAATTATGATTTTGAAACATGTAGAGTAATATGTTCATTTACTAACATTATAAAACAAGCCATTTCTAGCTCTTTTGTTCTCTTCTCCATATACAGTATTTCCTTTCCTTTCTTACTTCACCTCCAGATTCTGCAGGAGAAGTTTACAGAGTTTGCGTCAGAGACGGGCAGCGTGGGGCAGGAACGAGTGACAGCAGTCAACCAGATGGTGGATGAGCTTATTGACTACGGTCACTCAGAGGCCGCCACCATCGCTGAATGGAAGGATGGGGTGAACGAGGCTTGGGCCGACCTGCTGGAGCTCATGGAGACCCGAGCGCAGATGCTCTCCGCATCACACCAGCTGCACAAGTTCTTCTCCGACTGCAGAGAGGTGAGGTGCCCAGGGAACAAAGCTGAAGTGGAGTGACACAGTGAAATAGAATAGAACACAAGTGAAGGGGAGAAAATGTAAATGGTCTGCTGATTACACAAGTGTCCTTCAAAATAAGCACACTATTCATTGTTTTCACCCAGCAGGGTGTCAGCAAAATGTTAGTTATATGGATTTTTTCTGAAAGTGATACAATGCAATAAAATGACGAGATGTTGTTGTAGAGGAGAAACATTAGTGCCCAGCAGTGTCAAGTCTTCATGCATTCTGTGGTTCAGTTTTATGGTTTTAAAAAGACTTTAGAAACAACAGAAGAATCATAAACATCACAGACAACTGAATCAGAGTTTATATATTTTCTAATTTACTTCTTTCTCAACACAAATCCCACAAACCACACAACCATTTTATAGAATACATGGTCCATACCTTTGCTCACATGCTGTGGGTACATGGAACAGTTCTGCTTTATGTTTTGCTTTGGTGTTTTTTTTTTCAGGTTTTGGCTCAGATTGAGGACAAACATCGCAGACTGCCAGAAGTCCGGGCTCGGCAGGGCAGCGCCGCCAACACCGGCACCCTACAGAGACTCCTGCACAGCTTCGAACAGGACATACAGCTGCTGGTCACACAGGTGCTGCAGCATGCACGTGAAGAGACAGCATGTGCAGTATTCAATCACACAGGGATAAACCACAAAGAGTGATGATCGCTCCGTCCAGAGCACTTTCTACAATGCCACTTTTGCTTTCTTTCATGTTTGCTTTACTTTGTGGATGTTCGTTTAGCATGCAGGCTCGCTTTAGCTCACCATGCCTCACATTCACACACAACTGACTTGTGGGTGATAAATCAGCAAAATAGCAATAAGGATTAGTATTTCTGTGTTCATGTCTCTTCATGTCTCCAAAATCCCCAGTGTTCATGGACTGAATTGCTTTTCCCATTATACTGATGTTCTTTTATATCTTCTTGTATTATGTTAAAGGTATGGAACTTGGAAGTGATTCATTTGATAGCATTAATTTATAAAATCTAGAGTTGCTTGTGATTCTGATTCTTGGCAAAACTACCTCCTTATTTTTGCTTTATCTAGACACTGTTATGCACCTGGGAAACAGAAAACTAGTACATTTTACTAAAGAATGATGCAAAATCACAGCGGCTCTGTCAGCTCCGGTGACAGGCCCCGCACCATTTGGCCCTGACAAAACACAGCTGTCACAGCAGCAGCTGTGTTTCGTGCGTCATTCGGAAAATAAACTCCTTCTCCTTCCATTTTTAACACTTCCATTTACTCCCTGTTCAGTTTAGGTTATTCCTACAATTTGCTCTGCCCACTCTTGCAGGTACGTCAGCTGCAGGAGAGTGCAGCCCAGCTAAGGACAGTGTACGCTGGCGAGAAGGCTGAAGCCATCGCGTGCCGGGAGCATGAAGTGATGCAGTCCTGGAAAGAGCTGTTGACATCCTGCGAGGAGTGTCGAGTGCAGATCACCACTGAGACAGACAAGCTAAGGTTCTTCAGGATGGTCCGAGACCAGATCATGTGGATGGACTCGATCATCTGTCAGATAGGGACAGGAGAGAAGCCCAGGTATCGTCATTAGAGGAGCAGGGAACAGAGAATCTGTGTCATCCTCAGGCTGAGATCCAGGTGGTCGAAGCATGTCCAGCTTTCACAGGACAATACACAAACTATAATAACCAAATGCAGTGGAGCTTTACAGTGGATATAAAAAGTCTACACACCCCTGTTAACATGCCAGGTTTCTGTGATGTAAAAAAACGAGACCAAGATAAATAATTCCAGAACTTTAGCCACCTTTAATGTGACCTATAACTTGTACAACTCATCTGAAAAAGAAACTGAAATCTGTTTTTCAGTGGGAAGTAAAATAAAAAACTAAAATAATGTGGTTGCATTAGTGTGCACACCCTCTTACTGTGGGGCTGTGACTGTTGTCAGAGTTAAGCAGTCACATTCAAACTCATGTTAAATAGGAGTCAGTACACCTGCCATCAATTAAAGTGCCTCTGATTAACCCCATATAAAGTTCAGCTGTTCCAGTAGGCTATTCCTGACATTTTCCTAGTCGCATCCTACAGCAAAAGCCATGGTCCGCAGAGAACTTCCAAAGCATCAGAGGGATCTCATTGTTAAAAGGTATCAGTCAGGAGAAGGGTACAAAAGAATTTCCAAGGCATTAGATATACCATGGAACACAGTGAAGTCAGTCATCATCAAGTGGAGAAAATATGGTGCAACAGTGACATTACCAAGAGCTGGACGTCCCTCCAAAATTGATGAAAAGACAAGGAGAAAACTGGTCAGGGAGGCTGCCAAGAGGCCTACAGCAACATTAAAGGAGCTGCAGGAATTCCTGGCAAGTACTGGTTGTGTAGTACATGTGACAACAATCTCCCGTATTCTTCATTTGTCTGGGCTATGGGGTAGAGTGGCAAGACGGAAGCCTTTTCTTACAAAGAAAAATATCCATGCCCGGTTACATTTTGCAAACACACATTTGAAGTCTCCCAAAGGCATGTGGGAAAAGGTGTTATGGTCTGATGAAACCAAGGTTGAACTTTTTGGCCATAATTCCAAAAGGTATGTTTGGCGCAAAAACAACACTGCACATCACCAAAAGAACACCATACCCACAGTGAAGCATGGTGGTGGCAGCATCATGCTTTGGGGTTGTTTTTCTTCAGCTGGAACTGGGGCCTTAGTCAAGGTGGAGGGAATTATGAACAGTTCCACATACCAGTCAATATTGGCACAAAACCTTCAGGCTTCTGCTAGAAAGCTGAAGATGAAGAGGAACTTCATCTTTCAGCACGACAATGACCCCAAGCATACATCCAAATCAACAAAGGAATGGCTTAACCAGAACAAGATAAAAGTCTTAGAATGGCCCAGCCAGAGCCCGGACTTGAATCCGATTGAACATCTGTGTGGTGATCTAAAGAGGGCTGTGCATAGGAGATGCCCTCGCAATCTGACAGATTTGGAGCGTTTTTGCAAAGAAGAGTGGGCAAATATTGCAGAGTCAAGATGTGCATTGCTGATAAACTCATACCCAAAAAGACTGTGCTGTAATAAAATCAAAAGGTGCATCAACAAAATATTAGTTTAAGGGTGTGCACACTAATGCAACCACATTATTTTAGTTTTTTATTTTTACTTCCCACTGAAAAAAAGATTTCAGTTTGTTTTCAATTGAGTTGTACAAGTTATAGGTCACATTAAAGGTGGTCTCGTTTTTTTACATCACAGAAACCTGGCATTTTAACAGGGGTGTGTAGACTTTTTATATCCACTGTATATACATGATTCTGTACGCTAATAAAAAGGATGTGTTATTGTTTTCAGCACAGAATTATTGATGCTCCTGCAATTCAGTGTAATCTGTGATCTAAGACAGCAGCAGCTCACATAGCAATATTTACTCTGTTTAGCAGTTACACCTTCCAGTTTTCAGTATTTAAAAAACAGACTTCTTTGTTATAAATAAATCTCTATTAAACCATTATAAACAAAACTTGTTAGAACATAATCAGTGGTGTGATATTTTTCTCATGACCAGCAACTCCACAAAAAACACTTAAGTTTGAATGTCTGAGCAACAAACAGTCCAACTCTTTGTGTTTCTGTGTGTCTGTGCATCCTGCAGGGACGTGTCCTCAGTAGAGGTGCTGATGAATTACCACCAGAGTGCGAAGTGGGGGCTCGCAGCCGGGGCGTCGTGGAGTGTATCGAGATGGGGAAGACCCTGCTGGCTGCTAGAAACCCTGCGGCTGAAGAAGTAAGGAAATATTATAAAGATTATTAAAGCTGATTTACAAAGGAAACTGGACTGGTGTGTTTACAGTGTATGTGTGTGTGCACATGTCTTTCAGTGGTTGTGTGGACAAATTTTAGTTCATTACCATTATTGTGAAGACATTTCATCAGATCCTGACTTCAAGGGGCTATGTGAGGGCTAAGACTTGGTTTTAGGGTTCAGGCTAGAATCAGGTTTAGGTCAGGGTCAGGGTCAGGGGATGCATTATGAGTCAGTGAGTGTCCTCACAACTATAGAGAGACAAATGTGTGTGTGAATATCTGGATGTGCAAAGAAACTGATGAAGCAGGGTTTCAGTTTTTAAGATGGATGGAGCGCTTCAGTAATCCTAAAGGTAACTCACAAAACCAGGTCACAAACAAAGAGGTAATTAAAAATTGAATAATAAAATTTTGTCACTTAAATCTTAACTAGAACCTGAACTAAAACTAGAAACTCTAACTTTCACAAGAAGAGTGCCTGGAAATATCAGGCACATGGTGTTTGTTGGAAGTTACTTTAATTTTGACTCTGACTCCTGTGATGTTGTGATTCTCATGATGTTGGTTTTGATTATCAGATCAAGGAGAAGCTGGACAAGGTGGTTGCTAAGCAACATGAGCTGTCTGAGAAGTGGGACAAGCATTGGGAAGTCCTACAGCAATGTGAGTAAGACACAAACTGTAAAGCTTTCATAAAGACACACAGAAGTAGAACTACACATTGTTCAGTGTGAAATAAAAGAAGGATGGACGTGTCTTTCCTTCTGAATGTTATTTTTGCATCTCCGCTCCTCCCCTCAGTGCTGGAGGTTCACCAGTTTGCCCAGGATGCAATGGTGGCAGAGTCCTGGCTGACCGCTCAGGAGCCATTCATCAAAAGCAGTGAGCTGGGCGGGAGCGTCGACGAGGTGGAGCAGCTCATTCGTCGACACGAAGCCTTCCGCAAAGCTGCCGCCACCTGGGAGGAGAGATTCAGCTCATTGCGAAGACTCACCACGGTAACATTATCATCGTCATTATGTAAATACATGCGCAGTCTTTCCAGTGTAAGACAGTTCCAAAATGTGTTGGCAAAGAGCTGAGGAATTCCAGTGAAATATGTTTCTATTA